GTGATGGTTGCAGCCAGGACGGACACACAGAAAGCGTTGCATAGAATTACCTGCAGCCTCCGTGTACTAGGTGTCTAGGAAACACAGTGACTTTCCTGTTTAGGCTCAGGTCCCGTCCTCAACTACCTCACTACTGCATGCATCYTACTCCCCAATCTGAAAAAAAACCCAAATCCAAAACACTTCTGGTCCCAAGCATTTTGGATATGGGATACTCAACCTGTCCTTGAACACCCACACACCATCACTCTGGGCTCATAAATTAAAGATTTGTTTCCAAGTCTCCAAAAGCTACCTCACCCTTACCTTTGATTACAGGTGGAACGCGCCTGTAATCCCAGTGACTCAGGAGACTTAGGMAAGAGGATGGCAAGTTCAAAGCCAGCCTCTGCAATTTAGGGAGGTCCTAAGCAACTTAGTGAGACCCTGTCTCAAAATAAAAAAAAAAAACATTGCACGCACCCTATAACTCTTCTCTGATTTTTTAAAATTAAAATGATGAAATTAACCAAGCCTGGTGGTGCACACCTATAATCCCAGCAGCTTCGAAGTCTCAGACAGAAGGATAGCAAGTTTGAAGCCAGCCTCAGCAATTTAGGGAGGCCCTCAACAACTTATGAGACTGGGTCTCAAAATAAAAAATTAAATTAAATTAAAAAGCTGGGGATGCCGCTCGGGGTAAAATATCCCTGGGTTCAATGCCAGTACCAAAAAAAAAAAAAAAAAAAAGATGCAATCAGTTTAACCTCAGGTATGCCACACATCTCTCTCTGCCTGCCCTTGGGAGGAGGCTTGTGACCCAGGAATCACACTGGTGTGGTAGGTGGTGTCTACATGAGAGTCATCCACAGGTGTGGCCAACCAGAGGGAACTGTCCTCCCTACTGATATGCCCCTGTTGACCTTGGCTRGAACACTACTCTTGGTTGTTAAACCAGCAGCCTGGTCCATGTGACCTGGGGCTCCTCCCAGCTCAAACATTACAGTGTTTTATGATTCAGAAGAATAAATCATTAGGCCAGGACTTTAAAAAACATCCTGTTGATGATCGGAGGTCATGGGCTGTGGGTGTCATCCTCTTGAATGGCTTCTTAATGGGGAGATGATGCTCYCGATGAAGGGAACACGTGTCACCCAACACATAGGTGTGTATTTTCAAAATCCAGCCAGATTAACATTTGAGTATAATGAACGAGCTTGATTTTCTRTGAGAATTTTTGAAAATGTCCCATATTATCTTTCAATTTTACATGTTTTATGTGACATTTGAGATGCATAATGGAATGTGTATGTGCATCTCCTGATTGTGATTGACGAAGCCCAGAACTACTTAACAATAACCCCGATGAATCCTGCACTAGACAAGAACAGATCTCACTGAGCTCGCCACAGGTATCCCTATCCTTCACCAGGACAGACACGCTGATTTTACATTAACATTCCCTCACCTTTTGCATTTATAAACTGCTTACATTTGTAAAACAGAATCTCTGTAGGAATGATATATGCACTTAACAAATGATACAAAAGTGACTTCCCTGGTCACAGCCACCACCTTCCCAATCCTCTCATTCCTTCCCTCACCCCCTAGTGATATTTGACTTTTATTTAAGGTAATCTCGCTTTTGCTTTTTGTCATCCCTTACTTCTCATTATGATGAGTCACAGGAGAGGTACAGAGGGCATGTGTGTGATGTGACTACACGCTTGTGGMACGCACATGAACAGAAATACCACCAAAGAGCCGGGTGTGGTGGCTCACACCTGTAATTCCAGCAGCTCGTGAGGACGCTGAGGCAGGAGGATCGAGAGTTCAAAGCCAGTCCCAGCAACTTAGTGAGCCCTAAGCAACTCAGTGAGACCCTGTCTCTGAATAAAATTCAAAAAAAGGGCTGGGGATGTGGCTCAGTGGGTAAGCACCCTTGAGTTCAACCTGGTAATGAAAAAAAAAACTCACCAAAGGAATCTACAAGCAGAGCTTACAGACTTCTTTACTTACATGTCTTCTTGAGAGAGCTGCTCTTGCAGAGCGTGCTTGATAGTCATCCAGACAACTCAGTGCCATGGGTATGGCCAGGTTTTCAATCTCTGCTGGGACTTTCAAAGCCTTAAAGGGTTCTCTATGCCGAAGCCACAGCCAGGAAATCAGGCATGGTGTGATCCAGGCTGTTACCATTACCGTGGGAGGGTTGGTTGTACCAGAAGCCATAGCTTCTATTCTGGGTCTGCCCCACCATGCAAGGCACTCTGCTGCCTGTTGTCTYATCATCCTCTTAGCAATCCTCAGAGTGTGTTGTCACTACTTTAGAGAGGACAACAGCAAGGACTTGTCTCCATCTGCTACCAGGCTGCTCAGTCGCAGGCGTCATCAYTGAGTCCAGAGGCTGAGGTTCCTTGGGGTGGGAAAGTGGGAGGCTGGGAGACACCCCCCAGACTTTTGCTGTAGTTGTGTTCTGGTGATTGTCCCTACTAATGAGTTATGTCCCCAGTCCTCTTTATTTTTATTTATTTATTTATTTTGACRGGGTCTCTCTACGTTGCCCAGGCTGCCCTCAAACTTGCCATCCTCCTGCCTCAGCCTCCTGAGTGTGCCATCAGAGGTGTGGGCCACCGTACTTTCCTGACGTCTATCTTTTCCTCCTGACATCCTGTCTTGGTTCCCCAAAAGCTTACAGATGTTTCAGGTGGGGGGAAATGTTCAGAATTCATTTCCCCTTTTTTCCAGCAATGACTTGGGGTCCTGCCTAGTTAGTACCTACTGTCCCAGTGATTCACATTCAACAATGTCTTCACATTATCTAAGAGAGGCTCGTGATAGGATGAAGAGTATCAAGTCAAAGGCCCTGAGTTCAAATCCTGGCCCCGCCGCACGGTGCCACTGAAGATTCTCTAACAATGGRCCAGGGGTGGCAGCCTGGTCTACTTCCAGGATCACAGGACATGGGGGATGAGAAATGCTTCCTGAGACCCACAGACACATCCAAATCCCTCTGGAGTCCCCTCTCCAGTCTCTCTTCCTTTGGAGACCAGCTTTCAGTGTTGGAGGACCCTGAGGGAGGGGACCCAGGACCACCCCCATTTAACAGACAAGGAGAAATGCATCAGAGCAGAGGGGAGCCCAGATACCCTGACCAGAGCCCATCACCCTCCCTGGGACAGCCGTTGCCTGTGCTGGGTCTGCCTGGCACCCCGACGTAGGCTCTAGGCTGTGCTGTATGGGGGAGGACACTGAGCTCTGAAAGTTGGAACAGTGTTCCAAGGTCACCKAGCTGGGAAATGGTCAAGGCAGGACTGGCCCTGATAATCTGACTGGGCTGTCTCATTCCCAGCAGCTGGAAACACAGCCCTGACTGCCCTCTGGGCTCCCAGGCTCCTGGGGTCCTTCAGATGTCATGCTGGGCCTCGCAGAGCAGCCAGGATCCCCCTGCTACCCCAGCCCCAGGTTTCTGCATCATAAAGCAAAGGTGGCCCCAGGCATGTCCAGGTCCACAGCTGCCTGAGACAGGGAGAGCGGTCAGGCTGGAGGCTAGTTCTCATGGAGACAGAGGAAACGCCAACACACCCTGGGGCTCCCTGCAGCGCCAGGTGCCAGCCGGTCCCAGAGGCAGACCCCGAGCCTGGATTCTCACGGCCCCCTTCAGTGCCACCAGCCAACCCTCTGGATGCCCAGCAAGGCATGAGTTCCAGAAATAAGGCTCCCGGCCCACTGCCTGATCCGCCACCCCCAGAGGGGCCTCTCTGGTAGAAAACAAGGGCTGAGGCCAGCAGGCCTGGCACAGCTGTGACTGTCGGCAGGCCCAGTGTCCTGCCTGAGGAATGCGCAAGCCCACATGTGCTGGAGTGTCCCGCTAGGCCACAGTTAACAGGAAACGAGCAAAACAGCCTGATGGCACAGATGCACCCCTCCTGACTCCCTGCTCGCTCCTCACCCCTGTGAGCTCTTGGCTGCCCCAGCTGTGCAGGAGGCAAGGCCCAGCCTTTCAAGACAGCCAGGTCCTATCCCAGGCTGTGTGGCTTCCAGTAAATCACTCTCCTTCTCTGGGCCTGTTTCCTCTTGGTGGATGAAGGAGGCTGTCAGCCAAGCTCAAGTCACTATCCCCGCCACCTCACTCAGGTGGGATGGGACATGCCCCCTCAACATATAGCAGCCCTCAGCTAAAGGAGACTCCCCATTTCTAAAAGGACCTTAACTTTACAGAGTTGAAAGAAGACACCAAGGATCTGGGAAAGGGTCCCAGGCCTGCCTTAGGTCACAGCTTCAGGACAATAGTCATTATCACCCACCCCAAACTGGATGCCCCTGGCTTCCGGTGGACCACCAAGAACGCTGCTCTGGGTTGACGACCAGGCCATATCCATTCGTCAGGGGTCCAGATCTGAGGGCCCCAAGGGAAATCAACAGCCACCTGAAGCTCACTCAAGTCCTGCAAGCCATCTTTGGCCTTGCTACCCTTCCTTTAGAGAGATGGGAAGGAGGCTCAGGAAGGCTGAGCCACTTGCCTCAGGCTTCACAGCACAGAGGTGTGTGAAGGAAAACCAGCCCGCGGGTGGGACTTCCCCTCCGCACCGCCCCCTTGGCTTTCAGCTCTACCCCGCGAGCTCGAGGTCGCCAGAAGCGGGTATCCCAGCTCGTGTTTACTGCCAATGCCAGGGACGCGCCGCCCGAGCCGCGGTGACAGGTCCGCTGGCCCTAGGAGTGGCAGAGSGGAGACACGAGGAGGCGCCGGGCCCTGGGGACGCGCGGCCCGGGGCGTCAGGGCTTCTGGGGGCCGAACCCAGGAGTGGAGAGGGAGAGAGGGGATTTCGGCGCCGGCCGGGGACCGCACGGTTTAAACTCGAAACCCCGCCCGCCCGCAGCTGTCACCCGGGCCTCCGCCCCCGCGCCGGCGCGCCTCCCCGGGTCCCGGACTTGGGCGACGCGATCCCTGGAGCCGCGCCAGGGACGGGCTGGGGGCTGAGCCCGACCCTCCCCGCCCGGCCTCCCGGCCCCGCGCCACTTACCGGGCTGGAGCGAGCAGGAGCGGCGCGGCGGGCAGCTGGGCCACCTCCTCCCTGCAGCCTGCGTCCCGGGCGGCTCCGGGGCGGGGCGGGGCGGGGCGGGGCCCGGACACCGCGACCGCCCCGCCCGCCGGGACCCGCCACCCGCGAGCCCAGGGGACACTCCCAGCGCGGCGCGCACTCTGCGCCCAGCCCAGCCCGCCAGCCAGCCGCTCCCGGTCGCAGACCCAGGGCGGGGAACACTGCCCACGTGGACCTGGAGTGGCGCCCAGGTCCCGGGTCCCCCCTGCCCCCGGCCGGGGCTCGTTCTAGGGTGTGGGGCGGGGCCGCCTTCCCGGGGAAAGTGGGTACTGGGGAGGGGGTTCCCGGCGCGGCCAGGCCTGGGGAGGAATTCGGGGGGCGGCAGGTTTGGCTGTCACTGAGCCCAGCCCGGGGGACGGTCAGGGGCATCCTGCCCAGAGGCGCGAAATTCAAGGAGGAAGTGACACCGTCCTCCAGTCTGACGCGGGAGGGGGCAACGCCCCTCATCCCACCCCGCAGTCCCGAGCCGCGGGAAGGTGAATCCCACCCACAGTGCGAACCTCCCCCAGATCCGAGGTCAAGAAGGAGCCTSCCTTCTCCCTCGTCCCCTCCTCCGCCCGCCCCAGCTCGGCGGGCAGACGCGGCCTCCAGCCTTTTCCCGGCTCTAGCGACTGGGTCCCTCAACTGGGCATCCGATCCGATCCACAGGAGTTTGGCCCCGGGCTTGGCCCCCCGCACCGCCCCGCCTCCGCGGCTGTCCCCGACGCTCCCGCCCAGCCAACCGCTTTTTGAACAGACGGGGGACTCCAGCCCTCATCTTCTGCCAAGAAATCACAGATTTGCAAATGGGTCCCGCCTCCTCTGGACGGGATGAGAGCGTCAGTCGGCGGCTGGCCCACTCCAGAGATGAGGAGGAGGCCGGAGGAGTTGACTGGCCCAAGTCCAATGCTTCCAGGAGGTGTTTGTTTTGCTTTAAGCAGCGCTGGCAGAATAAATCAATGTAAAAGTTAGCATTCTACGAGATTAAATTGTCAGACAGGCCCGGATAGTGATGAAGCATGTGTCTTTTCTGGATTAAYGGAGAGGTAAGAGGAATTAGCCAAAACCCGGTTTTAACACCTCGGTGGACCCAGCCTGAACTGGAACGCAGGGCGTCAGGTGTACCTGGAGCCAGATCCCACTTATTAAGCCATAATTATTTTAAGCATCAGGTGAAGATRCGAACAAAGGGCCTCTCCTGTTCTGTGTCCGACTGGTTCCATTATTACTCTGACTCCATCAGAGGTGATGGCCCAGGCCCTGCGGTTACCACAACCTACTGAAGGCGTGGGCAGTAATGAGCGAGTCTTGCAATCCTTGCATTTGGATAATGCTCTTTGCTAGTTGGAAAGCTTTTAATGTAGTGTGTATGTTCAGATATGTAACAACAGATTCTACTATTACCTATCATTATAATGTACTAATAAAAATAGAGAGGGCTTTGAATGCATCTCCTTGTTAAACCCCTGCAAAGATCCTCCAGGTAGTTAGGCAAAGTTTAATTGGTTTTATCTTAAGGCACGTAGAGGTCAGGTGACTTGCACAAGGACAGAGCTGGCCCTGCCAATTCCTCTGGAGGGTGGAGAATCCACTAGGGAAGTTATTGTCCTGCAGTGCCAGATGGTTTGGTGCAGGAGGGAGTTAAGAGCTCAGAGTCTGTACCAAATTGCTCCAATTTGCAATGTTGGCTGATTACTCATCCTTGGTTTCCTCTTCTGTAAAAAGGATCTAAAACAAGAACCTATCTGGTATGGTTTTGTGTCTGGTATGTGAGCACCTGCCTCGTGGGCGCTGTGGCATCATGGTTCTGGGCAGGTCTGATCACTACAGTCTCTGCATACAGCCATTTAGTCTATCTTCAGGTGTTTCCTGGGGTTGACTCTGTGCCAGTCTCTGGGGATTCAGAGAGGAATGAGACATAGATTACTATTCCCAGGGAAGTCAACGTGCAAAAGTGCAGTGTCCCAGACAGAGTGGCAGGGTACACAGTGCCAACAGTCCCTTTCACAGCTAAGGTGACACGGAGCACCCGATTCAGAGCAGTGGGGAGACTCAGATTTCAGGCCCAGCTTTTGCTGTTGCTTAATTGAGTGAATCTTGATGAGCCGTGTAACCTCTTGGATCACTGGGTTTATTATCTGTTAGAGGGGATAGCAGTACTATTTCAGAGGTGAAAAAATATATATATGTGATAAAATATTTTACAAACTACAAAATACTCTGCAGATGTCAGTGGTGTGATTGTTGTTGGAGTTGATGTAATCTTTGCAGGGCTGGATGTTTTTCAGGACCCTCTCCTGTTGCTTTTCATAAGCCTGATATAAACATTGAAAACTGGGCTTGCTTTCTTCCCTCCCCCCCCCAACTCCTGGAGATTGAATCCAGGGGTGCTCTACCTCTGAGCCACAYCTCCAGACCTTTTTTAACTTTTTATTTCRAGACAGGATCTCTTTAAATTGCCAAGATTAGCCCCAAACTTGCAATCCTCCTACCTCAGCCTCCCATATCACTGGAATTAATGTGCCATCGTACCTGCTGTGGCTCAATTATTATCATTTTTGTGGTGCTGAGGATGGAACCCTGGACCTAAGCATGCTAAGCACGTGTTTCTACCATTGAGCTTCACCCCCAGCCCATGATCTTATTTTTTATTCAGTGGTGGATTTTTTTTTCCATTTTAAAGTGAATCATATAGAAGGAACAAAAATTGAGTAAGCAACACAAGAGCAGAGGGATGTGGCGGCTAGGAGGCTGCGATGCATTCTTCATCTTCAGCATTTACTGCCGCTGCAGGAAGGAGTGAAAATAGAAACCTATTTGGAAAGAAAATTCTGGCAAAGGCCCTGGGGGAGAGCCCCTCTGTCATCTCTGGAATTGAGCACAGGAAACCCCGCCCGCCCTAGGCCTCCCTTTCAGAGGCAGCCTGGAGAGGGAACCACAAGAAGCACGTTAAAATTATGCCTTTCGGAAATTCTGACTCACTTGGCAGAGGGGGCTGTTTGTGCAATGTACAAAAAGTGAGGTTTTCGCGGCTGCGCAGCTCACATCTCCACCACTTGCAGGGCAGCTGGACCCGTTTAATAAGCTGGGGGAGTATCTGGCCTGTGTCACCCTGGCAGTTGATTACCCGGATTCACCAGCACTCAGTACAGTTCTCTTTTTGTAAGTGTGGTTTTTAGTTGTGTATGTGTTCAGTCTCCGCAGAAAGATTGGGAGAAGAGCTGGACTGGGTTTTCTAAATTAGTGAGAAAACCCAGGGGTGAGGAGTGGTCTCAGCACCAAGCTTTGGAGCTGGAGCAACTATGGATGTACCTCTAGCTACGGGGATTGTGCTACTTTTATAAACCCCCTCATGGCATGGATGGGTCAACCAAGGCCAGAGGGCAGGCAGGAGGGGCACAGTGCGTCAGGGTCCCAGATGGCAACTGGTATTCGGGACATTGGTGATCCCATCTCTCTTCCAACTTCCTGTTCTAGGTAGATTAAATACTGGCTCTTAGCTAAACACCGGTGGAGAGCCCATATTGGGATGCTCATTTCTGGGGCACCCATCAGAGAAGTCCTCCTGGGTGTGGAAAGGGTCCTCTCTCAGCTCTGGTCTCAGATCCTTCTTTTCTTTCTTTCCAGTTTGCCAGCTCTCTAATGTCAGTCTGTCCCTTCCCACTGGGCTCCTGCCTGCTGCTTCTCAGGGGAAGATCCACCCCCTGGTTGTCTTTCCCATGGGCGATGGAGGGGGGCACCCCTGCGGGGAGTGAGGAGTGATCTCAGCACCGCCAAGCATGGGGGCTGGAGCAGCTGGGGATGTTCCTGCAGCTACACGGAGCTGTGCTGCTATTATAAAATAAAAACATGACATAGGAAGCCTGGGCTGGATTGTAGGATGTCTGGCTTCTAGCCCTTATTAGTGCAGTTAATGAGCTGTGTCATCTCAGGTCACTTCTGAGTTTCCGAATCTGTGAAATGAGAGATATGGAAAAGACCATCTCTAAGTTGTTCATCCAATTTAAAAAATATGAGAATTCCCTTTCTTTATCTTTTCGTTTCTTTTCTTTTTTCTCTTTTGTGGTAGTGATATTGAACCCAGGGGCACTCTACCACCAAGCCAGTCCCCAGCCCTTTTTAGTTTTTATTCTGAGACACAGTCTCTCTAAGTTGTCCAGTCTGGCCTCAAACTTGTGATTCTCCTGCCTCAGCCTCCCAAGTTGCTGGGATTACAGGCATGTGTCACTATACCAGAAAAGAAACTTGACTGTATTAGATGTTAAATGTCATTTAACAGAACTAAACATTCTATCAGCATGCTCCAAGGGATAAGTACCAATAGAAACAAGAGTGTTATAGTACAATTGATAAACTTTTTTTCTGAAAAAAATGAAATCCTTCTAGAAGAGGCTGACTATGCCTCTCCCATCAGTGGGCAACCCTCTCCACTCCTGCTGCGTCTGTGGGGACTATTTTAAGGGTGTGTGTTTTAAATTAAAGGTTTTATTTTGAGATAATTATAAATTCACATTTGGTTACAAGAAGTGACACAGTTTCCCTCATGGCAGAGTCGTGTTCCAATGTCATATTAGGAAACTGACCCTCGAACCATGAAGGCACAAGCTTCGTCCACCACCACGGGAGCCCCTGTGCCTAGCCCCTCCTTAATCCTGGGCCAACACTAGTGTGTTTTCATTTCCATAATTTGGTCATTTAAAGACTGTTACGTATATGGAATCATATGGAACGTGACCTTTGGGGATTTGCTCTTTTCACTTGGTCTGGTTCTCTGAGTCCATCCAGGTGCTGGCTGTGCCGAGAGGTCACCCCTCTTGCTTGCTGAGTCCAGTTCCCAGGTGAGGGTTTTGCACAACTTCTGCAACCATTGCCTCATTGAAGGACGTCCTGGTTTCCAGTTTGGGGATATTCTGTTTAAAGCTGCTGTGAGCATTTTGTACACAGTCTTCTCACATTAGGTTATTAGTTATCCCCATGCGCAATCCCACACCACCTGACTTTCTCT